AACCCTCCCCCAGAAGGCCTACATGGTCTGATCTATGAAGGTAAAGCTTGAACCTGCCTGGAATTGTGTGGTCACTTCCATTGGATCACTACTCAGCAAATTAGAATGACTCCAAGTGCAAATATAGGATACATTTATAGATGTAGATATGCATATTCAGCGTCATAACTAACTAATGTTTACATTGAAGATGTATGCACACACACCTACACAATTCTCAGAGTTCAAGCAAAAGGATGCTTTCATGTATCTGTACACTGCAGAAGGGTAAAAGAAACTTGTCTGCCACAAATGTATGTTTATTGTGGGTCAATGGCTGATGACAGGTGATTTGATTTATTGCTACCCGTCCAGCACTTTCTCTGAACACAGGTGTACAATGCTTATCTGACCATTCAGAAAATCTCCTGTGCAGTGTATAGGGATGGAAGATGAATGCTGCCCAATAGAGTTTATGGGCCAGTGTAAATTATAAGCAAGCCCAGGCAGCTTGGCTTCCATTCAGGTATAGCTGACCTCCAGCCCTCCCTTCAGTATGTCTATCCACATACTTTTGGCAATATTACGTATTTTAGTGTCATTTAAAGCTGAACTCCGGCCTTCCTTTCAGTCTTGCACAGTTGTGCCGGCTCCTCTCCTGGATTGAAATGGCTTCCTCTGATTTAACTGCACACTGCGAGCTTCTCACAATGTGCATTAGAAGCTGCAGCAAGTCAGATAAAGCCCGCCTCATTGCGTATATGGAGGACAGTCTCTGGCCTTCCCCCCTTCCGTTCATTGGATTTCAGTTGTTTCAGTCATGGAGGATCGATATTACATGTGGGCATTAGCTACAAGGGTCTGCATTAAAATACAGCCTGCCTAGGAACTCCCGCTCCTCCAGACTGCCACCCACCCATCAAGGCATTTTGATATTTGCATAACTCCTCCCAAGAGCCAGTCCACTGCTTGCATCAGGGCTGAGGGCTCTTCAGAGCAGTACAGAGGCAGGGTGCTGTGATGTATTCAGGAAGCTATATACAGCACCCTGCAAGCCCCTCCCACCAGCCATGATCTGTCTGCATTGCATAGAGACCCAGTGATCATATCACTAGATTTAAAATAAGGTATGTAATGAAAACGAAATAGTTGTATTTAAAAATTCAATTCATCTTCAACTTTTAAATAAAAAGCATAAAAAAACGCAGTGACAGCATTTGAAATGAACATCAGCTACTTGCTCCAGGGATTTGCTCCATCCCAGTGTTGCCGGGTAAGTTTGCATCACGTTGCAATAAACCGAACTCAGCATTAAATTTGCTTTTCAAAGTCTCACTCTGTACAAATCCTTATCATTTAACAAAGGGCAGCGTGTGAATGATTACCCAGGACAGGCGTTCTCTCCGCACATTACATGAACATGCACCAAATTCTTTTTCTTTAATGCATTAGAGTACTAAAAGGATTTCCGTTTCAGAATTATGTGGAGCAGCAAGACCATAACATCCAACGGCTCCTGAAGGTGGTACAAGATCAGAACGTCCAACTGGATCACCAAAATGAGCAAATAAAAGACCTCGAGGAGAAGGTAACCACAGATGGAAACATTCACTTTCCTGAAATGACTGCCGCTGTCTGAAAATTAAGTGGAAATTCTGTATTGTGAACCAGCACTAAATTTCATGTTCAGCCCAACGCTTTGGGCTTGTTTGAATAAAAACTTTCCATTTTCATTACATACATTTTTTAGACCCAGTAATGTTCTATATGCAATGCAGACAGATCGTGGCTGGTGGGAGGGGCTGGCAGGGTGCTGTGCACTGCTTCATAAAAACATCATAGCACCCTGCTTCAGTGTTCCTCTCAAAGGCCCTCAGCCAGTGGGCTGACTCTGCAGATATCAAAATGCTTTGATTGGTGTAAAGCTGGCCCTGGGGCTGATTGCTAAAAATAGAACAGATTCCTCCATCAACGCTACGAGGAATACCCGCCGTTTCTTTTGTATTCTGACAGCGTCCGCCAGCCCCTGTCAGAATACCCCAACAGAGCCGGCAGCTCATTGGCTGCCGGCTCGGTTCGATCGAAGATTTTCCGACTGCCTCCTTCGATCAGCTGATTAAGGACTCCTTTCCACTAGCCTGTGCGCTCATCGCACCTGAGCCCGGGAACGCACAGGATCGCATACACAAAGTCTCCTTGCGTTCTGGGGCGGGAGGGGGCATGGCAGTGCCATTCATGTCAATGGCACTCCAGACATGTCCCCCGCTCGCACCGGACTGCGTGGTAAAACAATGCACTGC